CACTACACTTTACTAAAAATGTTACTTCCAAACGTTAGAAACATCAGGTGATTTCAAGACATGCTTGGCACGTATATTGTTGGCATCAACAGAATTATAAATTTCAGATTAATTGCCATCCCAAGGATAGTTGTAAAACTCATCAAATTCTCATAAAAGCCTGAGCTGAGAAAGATAGGACAAGGAAAATATTAACCYGAAAAATGAAAACTTGGAATGTTCCAAGAAACCCAGAGATAGAAAAGGAGTGTGAGCAACATCTCTYGGCTGTTGCAGATGCCACAAAACCCTGTCAAAACTAGGTCACGATGTCCGCAGACCTTACTTAGGCTATCTGCTGCCCTCTAACAGCAAAGCGTAGGAATCACAAATTGGTTTGGGCGAGTGAACTGGAAAACACAGGACCAGCTCCTGCTCTGTCTCCATACCTTCTCCTGTCTCCATACCTGCASAAGTGTGTGCTGCTTCTGTTTCCCTACAGCTTTAGCAGACAATCTGTATSTGGCTTTTGCCTATCACACATCACTCCTCTGATTTTAATTAGCCTCCAGAGACATAAAAGGACTATCAGTAGATGAACAGCTTGGAGTCTTCTCCCCAATATCACATTTTAATCCAAAACCAAAACCAATCCTTTGGAGGAAAAAAGGGTCTTTTGGGTTGTTTTTTTGTATCCCTTCCCTCAACAGCTCTGCCTCCTGCACACAAAGTCTGACTGCTACTGAGTGAATTGCAGTTGGATTTATAAAAAATCAAAAATTTCAAACTAAATTTCAAAGCCATGTTATCATCCTGAACCTGTAAAAAACAACRTAGAGGCTAAGGAAGTAAGGTTAATGTCTGTGCTACAAAACTCAGGATATCTTCTACCTAGAACTACATGGATTATATATATAAAGGATTTATATAATTTCTGAGACAAGCTTATAAAGAASGGGCTGTTTTCGCTACTCAATTTTGCTTCCACTTTATAATTGTAGTACTCTTGTTGACTCTTGAAAGGGAGAGAGCATAAACGGAAACACAGGAAATAAAGTTTTCTTCCTGAAACCTACGCAAGTACGGTACATTAAAAAGGGAGTTAGTATTTTTAAGGTTTGAAATTAGTATAATAGGTATATTCAAACCAGGTTCTCTTGAAATGTTTGTTTTAAATGCCAATTTAGAAAGCCATTTATGTAAGTACTGTAATTGCACTCTTGTTCTGCATGATAAACACACGCTGTTCTGTGCAGGCAGTTTGAAAGGGTGAGGAGAAACTCTTTCCCTGCCAACCTAATTTCTTTTGAGAATTTGTTTTTTGTGCTGTGTTGTTCTTCAAATCTGAAGAAGTCTGGCTAAAATAACGAAGCTGAGCAAGACTGTCATCCACTATTTTGGTTCCAGTTTTAGAAACTAAGCAGCTAATGCTAATGGGATTAACTGTTAGCCCACTGGCACACTTGGTGATTGTGACACTGGCCAATGTAACAAGCCCATGGCACTATGAAATTAAATCAATTACATAGAGCTTAAAGCTAGCAGCTGCTCTGGCCTCCTTCTTTATCTAGTCATTGTTTATTCCTCTCAGGAGGCACAAATCATGCAATTTTCATAGCTATAGCTGAGATCTGGACGCCTAACCATGTCATCCAGCTCAGCAGTACRCAGCTGCTTGCTTTGTGCATGCAGAACATCATCTCAGAGGCATTTATGGATGCTCCCTTTCCTTATGTCTTCTAACAATAAGAGAATGACTCAGTCTCTCTACTACTCTGGAATTACATATAGAAATAAGAAAAGTTAGTAAAATCCCACAGAACTGAACAGATGAGTCATATCTTAACAGACATTAATTCTCCCTTATTGTTTAAACAGATTGGTTATCTACTGGTGTTCCTAATTGGGGATTGAGAATACAAATTATTATAATTTGCTTCATATTTGAGAAAAAGCACATCCACAGATTTTTAAGTACACCTTAATAAATGGCACTCTGATTTTTATGTGATTCATTACTTCAGTTAGATGGGAAGGTGATAGAGGAAGGACTTCAGCAGAAATATTATGCCTGAAKAATTATTGCTAGTCCAGTCACACTGACCACATCCACAGTATTTAAAATAATAGGTAGTGCCAATTGCGTTTCTGCTCTGGCCATGAACAACCACTATGGATAAAAAAGCCCAAAGGACTAGGAAAACTTCTTTTCTTTCTAAAACATCCCTCATTTCATGAAAGGAAATGAAGTCTCAAGATTTCATTTAATTTAATTTCATTATGTTTCATTTATTTTTATTTTTTTTTAATTTCCTTTTTGTTAATTTCATTACTTTTCCTTTTATTCTGTAAAGTTTCATTTAATTTCATTTCATTGTTTGATTTGTCATTTAATTTGTCATGAAATGAAATCTCAGGATTACATCTAATTTCCAATCCTTCCCTTCCATTTCAATTTTTGATATTTCATTTCCTTCCATGAAATCCTTTCATGATTTTCCAGGAGCTCACTACAGATTTGTAACTTTCTCTGAATGTCTGGATAAGCCCCTTGGTACCCGACTAATTGTTAGGAACAAAACCTCTTCTGAGGGTGAGAAATTCAGTTGCTTCCTTCTATGGGGCTTTTCCTTATATGAAAAAAGGGAAATAATTTAGAGATCAGTGCAGAAACTTGAAAGAAAAATTACAAACAACATTTTGTAGCTGTGTACATTTCTAGGATTTACTTCGATTAGTTTTACTTGTGATCTCCTCTCTTTCTTCCTGCTTCTGAATGTGTGAAATAATAAATGGAACTGCCAGGAAGAGAATAGTAGTTCACAGGCTGCAGTTTTGCACAAAATTCTCAGATACTATCACTTTCCTTAGCTGGAAAGGGCTGCATGGCTTGCAAACAACAAATTTTGTGGTTCTCAAAAAATCACTGAAATGCCCAGCTGAGGTCTTCTTAAGCTATGGATAAAAAACAAATATAATGCCTGGCTATGCAGCTTTCTCTGGCACAGATGAAATGGGGATTTCTCTCTGTGCATACCAAAACTTGTCTAATGGCTGCTGAACGTTTATTTCAGAAAAAAAAACCTATTAAAGGTACTATATAAAAGTACGTATTCAGGATTTGCTTTTCTCTTCTGTCTAAGCCTACTTACCTCTAGGTAGAGCAGATCTGCAATCACGAGTATTTTCATTTACTGTTCAGTTCATGCAATCATCTGAGTTGCTGCAGAAAACAGATTCAGCTTTGACAGGTCTTTAGAGTCACCTTATAGTCTGATAGTTGATAGGGAATCCCATTATTATCATGACTACGGAAAACCAGCCATGTCAGGCTGTCTTTCACACCACTGTGGTCTGGCAGCCCTGTCACCCCTTCTGCTTTGTGGAGTCAGTGTTGAYTTCCCTATAAGACTTTGTGGTTGGCAATTCTGTCTCTAGCCAGCTGTCAGGTTAGATGTTTTGTGTTACATAGTTCATAAAACTTTTTCACAAAGCCAATATTGCACACACAAACTTCAGGGAAGCATTTCYCCAACTCTTATGAGTGTCTGGGTAGACAAGTTTTCTTCTTGTGACAATCACAGACAATTGATGTGACATATAAGACCATATTAACTATGATAACATGATTTTTGTTTTTTAACCTWTCTTTATGATTCAGCATACTTCCCTCTTTAAAAAGAAACCAAGGGGGGAAAAAAACCCACCCAATCAAAACTGAGCAAAACTTCCACATCAAGTTACTAGCCACAGATCAGAAAAATGTTGAAGGGATGTAAGAGAACAAACTCTAGGTCCAAAATTACTCATCCAAACAATTCTGAAGGTACTCAGAAATCAGGCCAGGTTTGCAAATAGTTTGTGTACTGAACAACTCAGTAAAAAGTTCACTGGATGAGACTTTTACAGGGAATGCWTTGACTACTGGAAGGCATCCCGTTAAATCCACCATACGTGCTGAATTTCTCAGCCTTAATCCCCCAGATGGCAGTCTGAACTCATTCTCTGAGATGGCAGATTTGTTCGAGGTTTTCTCTCATTAAGGATCATGAAGATCATGCACTCTTTCTTTTCTATAGTTCTCCCTGATATTTSTCTCAGATCTGTGACATCAGTCTTACTGAAATAATTGAAGAACTTGAAAATATGAACTTCAAATACAGAAAATGAGTATTTTCTCGCTTGATTGGTAGCATGGTAGTAAAGCAGGAATGACACAGCATCTATAGATATGTCAGCCACATTMCTAACAATACCAAAACCAAAAGAGAGGTCCCTATATTTTAAACACCTCTCTAGAGATGGCTAGTTTACATGCTGAAAACCCATATATATAATATTTGGTTGAAACAACCAACTAGTTTTTTAAAAGTACTTCAGTAATATGAATTATGTAAGAAATCCATCCAGTTAGACCATCACCAAATAAACCTATGTATTTATGCATTCTGCTTTATTTAAAACTCTAGGTAGTATCTGATAGTTGCCTGAAGATTTTTTTTGTGACTTAAGACTTCTAGAAATCTATTGCAGACTTCTAAAAGCAGGGAAGAAACTGAACAAATAATTGACTGATACCCACTACAAGCAAACCTGCACTGGTGCAAAGCAATCACCCTTACTTATTTCTCTCAACTTTTGTTTTCAGTGTTCTGTGCATCAGGAGACAGCATTAAGTTTCTTSTGATTCATTCACACATTAACGGTAACAAACTGTTCCTGGCCTATAAATTTGCCAGTCTAAATACACAATATTTGAATCCTCATTCATATTGATTTGTCATAACTAGACCAAAAAGTTCTGTGGGGTACACRTGTGTTACGTGACTGATGGGGCTGTAACCAGGAGAATCACAATTACAGTACAGGGGTTTTTATTGACAATGTTCTTCAATATTTGCATGCTTTTTTTCCTAACACCACTTCAGCCTGTGAAACAGGTTTCTCAAATATTCATGCAAAGTGAACATAGATGGGAATAAATACTATTGCAACAAATTAAAGGCAAAACATTAACATGCTCAGAAAAACTTGCGTAGTTTTTGTTTGGCCGTCATATCTCTAGAATAATAACATAAGATATCAAGCCAAATAGCCAGTGTGCTTTTTCATGGAATGCTATGAGTCATATTCTCAGGCCCAGGAATTCAGGCAATACAAAAGAATGAGATTTGGCCACCCTTAATTAGCACAGAATGGTCTTATTGGAAGAAAAATTCTTTATGAGCTATGCATGAATGAGTGACATTGTTACGGTTACAGAAAATAAATGATGAGTCACTGCGCAGTCACCTGAGGCTGCTGCAACCTTGATATCACTTAAACCAGCATGGCTTAAGGAATCAATGAAGGTAAAAATTTCCCAGGACAAAAAAATTGAACTATTCATTTCCAGCACTTTTCCTTCCATGTTCTTTATCTCCCATTAAAGGTGGCTGTGAGACTGTGTTTAAATCGGAACCAGTGAGAAGCAGAGGTGAAAGGTTTTGTGGCAGCACTTTTTGTTCACTTGTTTCTATTATGATATTGTCCTTGAAGACCCTGAGATTGGAGTTTTGCAGTGCTAGCTGATGTGCAAGCATAGAGACAGCGCTTGCCCTGAAGAACACCTCATCCTCTATGTATTTCTTCCATTTGGGCCACACACATAATTTCCTCTTTGCTTCCAAAATTCCCTCTTCTCTTTGGACACTCTCTGTTCTCTGATGCAAATCACAGCTGCCTTTTTTTTTATTTTTAATTTAAAAAAAAACCAAAATCTTTCCCCCTGCCTGATCTTTGGCTGTATCTTGTCTTCATCAAAACTAATCTAGTTAATTCTTTGTTTCCAAACCAGGCTGTGGTGCATGGTCCACAGTTGCTTAGCAACAGCTCCCCTCCGCGTGCAGGGATAAGAGCAGGCAGGGATGCCAACTTGGAAGTCTGGTCCACAAAGGTGAGAAAAACCAGGAGCAAGACAGATTGTCTCCCTCTGGGCTTTGGTCCTGCACATCCTACTGCTATTCACTGGCAGCAATGTCAGAGGGGCAGGGTTTGCTTTCGTTACCAGGTTTTGCTTTCATTAACAGAACTGGCTTTTCAAATAAAAAATCCTGTCTCAGCACATGACAATGATGGAATCAATGATTCATATTGGAGTATGTTCTGGATGCATATATGGGTGATCTAAATCATTCCTTTGTTAAGCATTAGGCACAGTTTACAATTACTCAAATCCCAATACTCACAACTTCATACAAATCTGAAATGTGGGTAACTTTATTAGAGAATTTAGGGGACTAAGTGTTGCAATCTCAAATCAGGAGATCTGTRAGTATGTGGATGTGGGAATGTACCTTGTCTCTCCATTAAAACTGTATTTATGTCACATCCTTGGGTGAAAATCAAGAAATGCAAATGATAAGGCTCCGAGGGAACAGCATTAGTAACAATTATTCAATGATTAAAAAAATATCCAGGTTATCTTAAAGATCTTATCACTTCAAAAACATAAACCTGTAAAATGAGCTTAGGATTCAGGTGATCTAGAGATTGGGTTAAAACATTCTTATAACTGAAGGCCAGGATAGTAAACACCCCAGAGGGCTTTGTGAATAAATCTCAAGAACGGTCAGATTGAGACACTTGTCTTCATGCCTTCCACATTACCTCAAATTGCTAAGGATGAATTTGGAGCAAGGCACAGCCAGAATTTTGTTAAGTCTTGAAGGCTGTTGAAGATTAATTTCAGGTGGAGATGCCTGCAGAGACCCTAAGTATGCAGAGAGGAGAAAAGGTTGCTTTAATAAGTCCAACTAAGACTTAATCCAACACAGAACGATCAGATGAGACATTGTGTCTCACCCGTCCCATCTTCTCCTCTATGCTGCCTTTACTGTAAGTCAGAACACCGAGTCTAGGTACAAAATGGAAGGAATTTCTCCTGTATGTTGTTTTTTTCTCCAAAATTTAGCTTTAGAATTATTTTTCTACATGCAGGAAGTGCAGTATATAGGAAAAAAGGACTATCAGGTGCATCTTGCAATCCTCTGTTCTTCAAATACAACCTTTACTAAATTTCATAAACTGCCTGTGACAGTAGTAATGAATCCTCACACTTCTAGTCCTGCCACCATTCTGCCTCATTCTCATGTAGGAGCTCGAAACAAAGAATTCAATGCCTTTGCTGGCTAAGTCTGTTACAGATATCCCAAGAGAGAATACTTTGTGACAGCTATTCTTATATTTTTAGATACATATTTATATTTTGCATACAGTACTTGCTGTCTTTTTCCAGGAGTACTAACCACTTTACTCAGAAAACACTAATGCATGTATTTGATAATGTGAYTGCTTGTATCAAGTTGACATTACGGTGTAGATGTGTCTGCTGTAACTACTACTGAATTGCTGATATCATTTTCACTTTTTATCAAAGACTAAATGTGTAACTCTACATATGACAATATATTCACACTCATTTATGCTAATTAACRTTAATGAATGACAGCTGGAGATCATCAGTGCTGCTGAAGAAGGCAGAGTTTTGTTCACTGTGCTCCACAGATCAGASAATCATAGAATGGTTTGGACTAGAAGGGACCTAAACCATCATCTAGTTTGGACCAGCAGGGACCGTGCACTAGATGCAGTTGCTCAGGGCCTGGCAGTGCTTGACCAGTCCTTGAACACTTTGASGGATGGGGTATCCACAACTGCTCTGGGCAACCCATGCCTGTGCCTCAGCAGCCTCACAGCCAAGAATTCCTTCCTAATATCTCATCTAAAGCTACCCTCTGTCACTGGAAAACCATTGCACCATGCCCTATCACTGCCAGCTCATGTAAGACGACTCTATGCAGCTTTCTTGAGGCTCCTCTTGATGAAAGATGAGRGTGTGCAGGTCCTGGAGAATTTCATTTTCCACCCTGCTCTCTGCAGCCYTTTTTTCCATGAGATTCTTCCCTAAACAGAATCACTGTGGAGCAGGGCTAAGCATGTGTGTGCTTGGGTCAGGAGCCAATCCAGTCACAGCCACTGATGGATGAGCARTGAAGTGCCCAAGCTGTGTCACTCTTCCTGGGCACAGTGCAGTGCAAWGCAGATGCAGCACAGTCYATGCTGGCTACATCAGCCAGAGAAATGCTCKCTGGCAGGCTCCATGCCCTTGATGCCTGTGAGTTCTATTGCTGCTCTGGGTTACAACTAATGAGGGCAGATGTGGCACCCTCCTGCCAGGGTGGCCAGTGACATAYAGCAGTTGAATGCTGTAGACAGAGGAGGATTCTCTGGCTCTCAGCCACAGGCTGTTCTCCATGCCATTCTGCTGTGGGAAATGGCAGGCAAAAGAATTTCCTTCACATTTTGTGGTGATGATGTGCAACACTCAGGCAAACAARCACACCCASCAGCAGTCTGTGTTTGTRCAGCTGGCTCTTTGATTGCCCCTTCTCTCCATTCTGCCAGGCTTATACAGCCCTCTCCTCTTCCTCACCTCTTCCATTTCTCTGCCACTGTCTCCTCCCAAATACACAGCCAAGCCCAGGCATCTTTTCCCTCTGGCTCCCAGGTTGGCCCTGCCTGTGAACAGACTCGCTGTTGCAGSTGCTGTTGGCTCACTCACYTTGGCCTTCCATGGCATTCCAGGTGCACTTDCCTMCTGTTCCTGCCAGCTTCCTCTCCCCAGAATGCCCCCAGCTCTTCCTTTGAGTATCTGTGAAGTGTCACCCCCTGGCACATCAATCTCCCATTATTACCCATGAAATGTGGCTCTGCATGAGGGCACTGGCATTCCTATCAGCAGTCAGGAGATCCCTTGTCATGCTTGGCAGTTTCCCAGGTGTGCTCCATTAGCCCAGGCTCACAGCAGGCCCAAATCACAGCCCATGTGCCTTTGAGCACTTGTCCCCAAGGTGGCTGCTTGTGACCTTGTTCTTTCCTATCCTCTTCCCAGGCTTGATGTGCCAGGTTCCTCCAGCCCATGGGGCTCAGAGCACTCTCCTCTTTGATCAGGCACTCTGGAGCCCTTTGGAGCCACTCTGTCCCTTTGTGCCTGATGGCTCTGCCCTCAGGCTCATTCTGCAGATGCTGAGAGTGGCAGTCCTTGCCTTGTCCRGGAGTCAAAATTGCACTGAAAAGATGGTTCCCTGTGAACATAGGAAACTTTACTTCTGCTAAGTCAACTCCAGTGTCTGCCTGCACACAGGAGAGGAGTGTGGGCAGGACAGAGCAGGCTTTTGACACAGAGGCTGCCTTTGGATCAGCAGGCATTTTCCCAGYAAGAAATGGTTGCTGGGCACTGCACTATGGCCTGGAACCTGCCTGTTCTGCTGCTGAAGATGTGTTTTGCCCAGGGATCTGCTGGTGAAGTTCCTTCTTTCAAGCAAGGAATTTCAGCAGAATCTTAATGAGAAATGGGCAGGAGTTAAATTCACCCATTGTTGTTGGTATTTGCCTTGGTTTTACAGAAGGGGTAGGGCTTTGTCAGGGCTTTTGAGAGGGGGGTGGTCTTGGCCATGGCTTCTGAGGGGGTTGTGGGGTGGTAATATAATGATTCCAGATATGGGAARTGGTCAAAAAATTACTACATGCTCGTGATGTTGCAGAATAACTTCCTTCTGGGCTCAGACTCATCTGGAATACAATCCAGTCATAGAAGAACTGAGTGGAGGTATAGATTCCAGGCTTCCTTGCTCTGGCACAGCCTTTTCCCCAGCTGGTCAGTCCTACGACCCACCAATACTCAGCATGGTTGTCTTTGCACATGAGAGGGCCACCACTGTCACCCTGCAGAGGAACACAGAGGGTTAAAGTGGTGCTGGTGTCCCCTGCCAGCTCTGGAGCTTTCTCCTTCTCTCCCACAGCCCCTGCCAGAGCTGTGCTCTGGGCAGAGCAAGGCTCAGCTCAGATGCTGGAGCCTCCAGAAGCCTGGCTGTGAGCAGCTTGGGGTCCTGTAAAGCAGGGCTCTCTGTCCTCTGTGCACAGGGCTCCTGGATG